CCGGACGGAACGTATCAGTCAGCAAGCGGCCGGAGCTAATCCGCACGTGATCAGCCTGCAGTACAGCGTGATGAGGCACTTCAAGCGAGCATTGACGCGTCGAGGCTACCTCTAGGACCTAGGACGAGCACGTGGAAACACGGCAGGATCGTATGGGACATGGTATAGCGGTGGGCAAAGGCTGAGTAATTGTGTGGGATGCGGAGCATATTCGTTATTTAACTCCGGGCGGACGCAAAACCATTCCAATAGCATAAAAATGTATGGAGCGTAGTGGAAAATCCAAGTTTTGTACTTCACCCTCTCAGCGTACCAGAATTATCGTCTCAGCGACCCTCGGAGTCCCTTCGCGTCGGACTTAGCGTCTACAATCAATCCTAGCTTTGCCAATAGGCCTGACTCGTCGAAACTAGATAACTCCACCATCGCATATCGATCCAAGTAAGCTCCGGATTTAAAGTATAAAATTCACCAAGCGTCTGTAGGCACGAGACTATTGTTTGGGTTCAGTGGAACTCCCCACCCGGGCTACTGGCGAACTTCGGAGATAAATACTCCGGAGAATCGCTATACTGTTTGTTTCAGGCCTCAAGATTTTGTTTGTTTTAGGTTTTCCTACGGGCTACCCTACGGCGTCTAACTTCTCCCCCTCCCTTCGAACTTAAATATTACCCTTCAATCGCCTTAGACCGCCTACACCCATACCGCTGGGTGTTTTAGGTTTTATTTCTTTTTGGTCTTTGGTGTTGTCATGTGTTAGTGCCTATCACCGCCTTCACCCATATCACGGGGTTTAGGTTTATTCCTTTTGGTCCTTGGTGATTGTTGTGTGTCAGTGCATATCAACGGTTGACCTCAGCAGTTATAGCTGCAATTGCCCATCATTCCCCCCCATCTCTTTCTGTAAACATCTATGCACTGTTCAGACCTGGTTCAGTTCTGAATGTGTTACGGAATGTTCCTTCACAATGACATCCTCCACCTCCGAGTCCGAATCTATCCCTGACGACACGTGTATGGTTGAAAATGAACAAGACAAAGATGATGGGTCTGGTATGAATCCCCACCACATGGAGCTTTTGCAGGTACACAGAATCATCAAGGAATTCCAGTGTCTTGCGGTTTTGCTGCATCTACAGGTTGCACTACTACTGTACCATTTCGATCTATTCCACTGGCGGTGTGATATGTGATTCATCTGACTGATTCGTCATTTCAGCATCTTACTATATATGGTGGGAAGTGGTGCCACAGGTACCCCTGTGGCATGTGACTGCCGAATAGATCGAAATCATACAGTACTGTCCCCCGCTAGGCATGTGGTGGACTCAGGCTTGTCCCTTGATGCTGTACTTGCCAAGAAGGAGCCTTGCTGAGTGCTGCCCCAGCCAGCTGCCATGGCTCTGAACCAAGGCACCGCATGGTCAGAAATAGCAGCAAAGATGATTGGACCTCAGAAAACAAAAAGCGCAAGAATACAGATCCCGTTGGGAGTGGAGAGCAGAGCGGGAAGAAGGCAAAGCCGGTGATATGCCTGTTAAAATTTCGGGGTTATTGGTCGAGCTTGCGAGCTCGCACGCAATAGGATGGGGCCACCATAGGCGGCCGTAGTGGGTGAATGTTTATGCCAAACTCATATATAGTCACTGTATCTGCTCTTTGTACAGTATGCGATTGCCCTTCGGGCAACCGACCACCTGGGGCAAGCGCCCTCAATCTACGTTTGCCAGGATTATTTCAACAACACCTCTTGTCTGAACCCTGAAATTGTGGAATCAACACTTCATCCACACCCTCCAGAGTCTATTTGACATTGCACTCACATGTCCTCACACTACAATTGGCTCAAAACAATGTCACGATTTAACTCTGGACTTTCTAGAGTCCTCAAGGCAAGCGCGGATCCTTCCAATTATTTAGTTCCGAGGTCAGGTGCTCCGGAGAGACTCAGGAAGCAACTCCGAGAAGAATTAGCTCTGGTGGCCGAGGGCACCTGTCTAGTCATGAGTCATCCTCATGCCCAACTTCCAACACTTCTTCCCCTCTGTTTCCATCAAATTACCGAACTTGCGGGTGTAAATCCGCCAGTATCAGTCAGTGAGTGGCCGAGTTCATTCACACGTGACCCACATGTCACGTGATGTGATGGGAAGGTTCAGGGCAGGTACTGATGTGTCAGGACGACCTCTAGGGGGGAGTTGTATGGTATGTGGTATAGAGGCGGAGGAGTGTTGAGCAGGTAGGGAGTTGCGGCCTTTATTTGTTATTTATCTCTGACGGTCGCAGGGTCATTTCTGTAGTATAAAATGTACAATGTAAAGAAACATGTCAAACTTCGCAAATTATGATTGATCCTAGCCTTGCCAGTAGGCCTGACTTGTCAGATAATTATCTCCGCTGTCAAATATTAGCCCCCGTGAGTGGTAGATAATGAGATAAAATTAACAAAGCGTCTTTTCTACCCCCTGTGCACACGATCCTACAAAAGGGGTCGGTGCTCGTGACCTTGTCTATTAGTGATTCGTCAGAGATAAATACTCCGGAGTGTTGATTCATTGTTTGTTTTGGGCTTCAAGGTTCTGTTTTATTTTTCTAGGTTCTCCTGAGGACTACCTATGTCGTCTTACTCCTCCCCTCCCCCTATTACCCTTCTGTAACCTTAGACCGCCTCCACCCATATCGCTGGGTGTATTAGGTTATTTCCCTTGGTCTTTGTGGTTGTCGTGTGTTAGTACATATCACCAGATGCAAAAACTCCAATGGTACAGAGATATGTCTTGGCCTCATTCATCACCCGAAGGATTATACCTTACTTGCCAAGCACAGTCTGCCTCCCCAGAAATCTGTCCAGCCAGCAAGGACAACATGCAACCAATGGAAGGTAGCTTGCTGGCAGCAAATACCCGTATGTCACTGTTTGGCCTATGTCACAGTTCCACGGCCCTCTACGTGATGCTGCGCTGGTGACCATGTTGGGTCCATATCAGACTCCTTCCCCACTGCTATGAGAGGAGACAGGAGATAAAGAGCAAAAATGTTGAGTCTGATAGCAGCCATGTTGTAACCTGTCAGTAGAGGGCCATTGCTATGCATGGCAGGACACGAGTCCTGAGTTGTGTCTGATAAGTGATAGCATTGGGTGTATAAATGTTCCAATTGATGTATACAGTACTATGTCTTATGCACATATCAAAAGCCCTCAGATCTGTATGTGCGATGTCCCCTTCATTCATACTTTGTCGTCCTGTGGCCCTGCAATCATTATACCATAAAAGTCCCTGCCACTCTGACAGATTAAAAGTTGGTCTGTATTGGTGGCTACAAAATTGTATTTGTACCCAGCCTAGGGGATAGTAGCAGCTGCACTACTAGACACAAGTAACATAGATCAAAGTGCTCCTCTGCTGCCAATCAAAGATTGGCGGCTGTGTCACACAGGTCATTTGTCCCCAGTGGAAAAGACAGTCAATAATACCTGCAGACTCCAGGTACCATCCTACCAGAACCAGAGTGCTCATCTACTGCCAATCTTTGATTGGCAGCTCCCTCGCACTCATTTTTCCTGAACCAAGCTGAAGGACAGTCATCACAGAAAGGATACTCAAAGAGTACCCCAAGCAGCTGGGAGCAGAAACAAAATATATATTACACATGTACTAGTTTCAGTTTCTCAAGGGGACATATAGAGACCACTGAGCAGAAGAAATCAGGGTTCCAGAGGCAGCAGAGATA